TTATGGGTGTGAGTGCTGCTGGGATTATGAGTATGAGTGCTGCTGGGATTATGGGCATGAGTGCTGCTGGGATTATGGGTGTGAGTGCTGCTGGGTTCATAGGTGTGAGTGCTACACACAGCCTGCTGGCAGATAGACTGCATGCAACATAAAGGAGACAGACTTGCTCTCTGTTACCAGTACTCCTCCCTTTTGCTCTTTGCTGTTCTCCACTGCCATGAAGTGTTGCCACTCTGCCATGCAGCCAGATAAGTATGGACTGAAATCTCCACAAACAGTGAGCTAAATAAACCTTGCCTTCCTTAATTTTGAGTGTCAGGTATTTTTGTCTCAGCAGCAAGAGAAGAGAAACTGAGACATTTAGTAATAAAGAAAACACCCTAAACCTTCCGGATTTAACAATAATAATAACAAAATACATACACCACAAAAAGTCTCAGGAGCACTGGCAGAATGCTTGCCTATGTGAGGCCCTAGTTCAATCTCTACCACACAAAATAAAACAATAGGTCTCATTCAAAGTGTTAATAACTAGAATGGCTCCACACTTTTCAACAGTAGCTCTAGAGCATAGAAATCACTGGAAGAACATCATCAAAATTCCAAAGACATACAAATTCTAAAACAGAGATCAAATGTGCAAAAACTATTATTTGAGTTTAAAGATGGACATGTCAGACACACAAAGTCTTAGAAAATTTGCCTCAATTTCTTCAGAAACTTCTATAGATTTCCCAGACCCATCCCATCAGATGAGTCATTCATGAAAAGATGGAAATCCAAGAAATAAGGGATCTCTTCCTGGGGAGAAGCAGCACCACCAAGTGGTAAAAAGAGACTTGAGGCCATTCAGCAAGCCTAAAGAGCATATTACAGGGCTGGATGATGGAGGAGTCCAGAAGGTATGTAGCAGGAAAAAAAGAGAAGAGGAAACAAGAGATGATTTGATATATCTTGATGTATTAAGAAATTTCTAGGAGCTGGGGATATAGCTCAGTAGTACAGCACCTGCCTGGTGAGCACAAGGTCTTGAGTTCGAATTCTGATTTTAAAAAAACCCTAAGACATCTCTATTTCTGTCAAAGGAATTACTGTCAGGTGAATTACTGATTGATATAAAATTTAAACAAATAAGGCAAAATCATTAAACCACCTTAAGGACATACAGGTACTTCAGCAGAGAAAAATAGTGCTTTGATTCAGCTATGACTGATCTTTACTAGGAGGTGGAGAATGAGGAAATCTATACCCTGGAGAGGAGAGTGGTGGTTGTCACTAACCTAACAGCCAGTTCTAGTTTCCTTCTCCTTTGTCTCCCTACATTACAGACTAAAGAGGCTGATTAACCTTTTCCTAGCTTTTCTTGTCAGCGTGGATGATCAAGAAACTGTTCCAGTCAATGATTTAGGATAAAACAACTATTAAAGGCTTTGGAAAAGTTTTTACTTTCTTCATTAAATAGATTACTTTGGTTGTCTTCCTTCCTTTCCATCTTGAACAGGGATTTACACCTAGAACTGTAGCAGATATACTCCAGATAAGAATCTAATAACATTCTAAGAATAGTAGAAAAGAGTCTAAGTTATGACTTAGACAAATGACTGCACATGACAGCCCTACCTCTAGATTTATTTAATGATAACTTATCAGCCAAGTTTGTTTCAAAGCCAAAAGTGACAAAGAATTCCTAACTAATGCAAGGTATTTGAGAGCTAAATACCTGTTTTCATTTTTTAAGTCAAAAAATGTTGAATCTTGCTACTTAGAAATGTAACAGTAACTACTTGAGAAAAAGAGCTAAAACAGGTACCACCAAGAACTGCAAACTGGAGCCAGTGGGGCAAGGGACTGCTGTTTCTCATAGTAAACCCAATCACAGGGCTTTCAGTAGTAGCTCCACTGACATTTTGGGTCAGCTAATTCTTCGTTGTGGGAGGCTGTCCTATACTCCATTCTCACCCCCCAGAATGAAAAATATTTCTGACCACTGACAAATGACTGTGGGACAAAAATGCTTTTGGGAAAGAATATTGCCTTATAGTACTATTTCATTTTTTAATTTTTAGTAGCACAATAAATTTGTGAGCTTTTTTGCTTTTGTTTTTGTCTTTTTCAGACAGGGTTTCACTATGCAATTTAGGCTGGCCTTGAACTTATTTTGTAGCCCAAGATGGCCTCAAACTCACAGTCCTCCTGTTTCATCCTCCCAAGTGCTAGAATTACAGATATGAACTACCACATCTGGCCTAAATTCACTATTTTGATAAAAGTAAATTATAAATAGTTTGGAAGCAGCTAGACTGGAAACTGTCAGTCTAGTCTCCTCGCAAGCACCTCTCATTTCCCTTACCTGACCTCCACCTCTGCCTCAGAATCTCACTCCTTTCCACCAGACAGGACTGAGCAGAGCAGAAGTGAGATACTTACCACCTAGAAATGCACACTCGTAATGGCTGCAAGTCTTGTTTGTGCTGTGAAGGGTTAGGCTGTTGCCGGCCTCATCCTGCGACACTTGAAAAACTTCACTCAGGGGTATTAAAATGATTCTTTCATTTTCTTTACCAAAAAAATTTTCAACAGCAACTCCAAAGCATGTGTAGATAGTCAATGTAATGTGTTGGTCATTAGCTACTTCAGGTTTGGCATACGCCAATGTGAAATTGCCAAGCCTGGCTTGGTTTTGCCCTCCAAATGTAAATGAAATATCCTGGCTTGCTCTATATACCACATTTTTGTAACTGTCTTCACAAGGTCTTCTCAGCAGCTGCAGAGCTCTCGTAAGGTAAAAATGAAAAGCTTTGAACTGGAAGCCATAGATATAATCTTTCCGTGATTGGCCAGCCAATTGCACAGCTTCTGTGAACAGGTGGTAAAAGAGCGTTTGCTCCTGAGCTTCAGAAATATATGCCATTAGGGCTATTCCATGGTTATCCTTAAAGCTTGTAGGAAGAAATAGCTGAGTTTTCCGGGCTTCCCATTTGGCTTTTGCATTTTCCCACACAGTCTCCAAGAGCTGATGGCTAGCCTTCTCCTGCTTGAGCAGTTGGGGAACATATTTCATTTCCATTCTGTCAGTACATTTCAGGTATTCATCATCAAATACATTATCTGCCATGTCTAATATTTCAGCCTTCATCTGAAATGAAGGAAAAGGAAATTAATATTCTTGAAATAAGATGTTTATTTTTCTGGAATAAGATGTTTATTATCTACCATTTTCCTTAGTTTACTATTCCTGCTGAAGAATTTTTATGTATAAAGTCTACCACATTACTATTGATAACTTCTCTCATCTATGACATTTAGATGAAAGAGTAAATGTCAGTTAACGAGAGGTACAGGCAGAATATGCCTCTAATTCATTTATTTGAACACTATGGTACACAGAAAATTGAAGAACGGGGTGACCTGGTTTTGAAAAATATCCTTACCTAGGTTTCTTTAAACCCTCAAGACTGTTGGAAGAACCTGAAATAACCATGTGTTATACACTGTACACAAGAGAGAGATAATGACAAATGTTACCCTTTCTCTTTTAAGCATTTCCCATTCCTTATGCATATGGCATGGATAGGAATTATTGGTACTGTCAGCCCAAAGTATAAACAGGTGATCACGTGCTGGGAGCTGCTGAAGCTGAAACTGATCCTATGCAGGAGGGCAGAATGAGGCCTCATTGCCTAAAGCAGTCAAGCTACCTCAGTTTTGAGAAAAACATCCTGCCTGGACATTGAGGGCTATTAGTCACCAGGCAACCTTGTGTCTTCCAACACTGTAAAGGTATAAATAAAGGCTCACACTGCCCTTTGCCTTTTCTCCTGGGAACTACCAAGAGACTAACAGATCCCTACATTTGACGCCTGCAACAGGGACCCTACTAAAGAGATATTGATAGGTAGGAGAACGTTCCCCAAAATTTTGCTGGCAACAGGATGGGGAAATGGATGGATAGATCAGTATTTAGCACTGTAGGGGTCAGGGATATAGCTCAGTGGTGTAAGCACCTGCCTGGCAAACACAAGGTCCTGAGTTTGATCCCTGGTACCACCACCAAAAAAAAAAAAAAAAAAAAAAAAAAGCACTGGAGTGTTATATTGACAATTATCAGGTGAAAAAGTCATGGAAGTCTACTGACTATATATATGGGGGCAGGGAGGAAGAGAGAGAGAAACAGGTTTGAGAAAAGCCAACATGGAGAAAGTTAGATTGAGTTAAAAATGGGATAGAGAGCATATGAAGAACCACAGATGTCTATAGGCATTTATAAAAATGTCTGTTGTTTTCTTAGTTCCCATATTTGTGCTACTTTCTTAGACTACTGTAAAGTACTTAGTGTGGAGTACTTTTTTTTTTTTATGTGTTTGGTACAGGGTCTCACTATGCAGCTTGGACTCACAGTGATCCTCCTGTTTTCAGTTTCCTGAAGGCACATGGTGCTGGGGATCAAAACCCTGTCTCTTAGCTTGCCTAAGCAAACACTTGGTCTGCTGAGCTGCCTAAGCAGGCGCTCAGTCCACTGAGCTATTTGGAGTAGACCCTTTGGAGTACTGTTTTAATACCAAGTCCCAAAGGGGACAAGAAGGGTAGAAAAGGTACAGCAGATGGAGTTTAAATCCTCTAGTTTTGCTCAGTTAGATAAAAATAGGAGACTGTTATGGTTTGTGTATAGGCCTTACACAAAAGCCTCATGCAGTCATGGGGAGACTTCTAGAGTTTGTTATTATTGTGGGTGTGGATTCTGTATCTTCCCTGGGGCATATAATTTGCATTACAATGTAAGGAGGGGAGAGAGGCTAGCTGGTAGCTGCCTGAGCTGCTGCCACTCCCTTTGCTCTTGCTCTTTGTTGCTGCCATGAATGGCTGCTCTGTGCCACCATATGCCACTCTGTCTTAGAGCCAGCTGAGTATGGATTGAAATCTCCACTGACTGTGAGCTAAATAAACCTTTCCTTCCCTAATTTTGAGTGTCGGGTATTTGTCCTAGCAACAAGAGAAGATAGCTGAGACAAAGAGGTTTTTTTAAATTGTGAGCAGTTGGTTCCAAGTAATGTAGTAGTGCAGCTGGGGGGAAGGGCACAAACTGGTCTCAAGGAGGGACTTATGCTCATGTCCTAGATAGACCCAGCTGGAATTTTTCCAGCTGCCTACACATCTGTTTGCCTCATCCAGCCACAGAGGTTGGTGTGTACACCAACAATAGTTCTCTAAATCTGGTGCTAAGTAGGAGGGTCATGACTATGGCTTATTATGGTCTTGGTATTGGCTATGCAAATTGCTGGCAAACAAAATTTGTTAGGCTCAACAAATCGTGGAAGCAACCAAAATGCCCATCATGGCTTGAGAGATAGTTCAGTGGTCTAAGAACCTGTCTGGCAAGTGCAAGAACTCGAGTTGATTTCCAGTACTGCATGCTATGCTGGCCACTGAAACCAGGTGTGGTGGTGCACGCCTGTAATCCTAGCACTGGGGAGGCTGAGATAGGAGAATCACTATGAGTCCAAACGAGACCCTGTACCAAATAAATAAGCAAAATACCCATCATCTAAGGAATAGATAAAAAATAAGATATTTTAAAAAATCCTTTACTTGGGGCTGGCGAGATAGTTCCAAGGACTAAAGTGCCTGGTTAGGCTAACTTAGGCAAGCATAGGGACCTCGGTTTGATCTCAGGCACCACATGTTGCGCCAGCCCCGCCCCCAGGGCGGGCTGAGCCAGCCAGAGTCCAGGCATAGAGGTGCATGCCTATAATCCCAGTACTGGTGAGGCTGAAAAAGGGAGGATCACCATGAGTCCAAGCTGCGTAGTGAGACCCTGTAACAATCAAATACATTTTTTAAAAAAATCCTTTACTTATTCATTTATTTCCAGTTTTGGTGGCAGTCTCGCCATGCCTGGGGTTCCAGAGACTGAACCCGGGTTCTTGTGCTTGCAAGGCTGGCACTTAAACTGCTGAGCTATCTCCCCAGCCCAAGTTGTGATATTTCTATTCAATGAAGTATTAGTCAGCTATAAAGACAGACAAACTTTAAAAAAAGAAAGACAAACTCAAGGCCTTTATAGGTAAATGGAAGCAACTAGAGGCTATACTCATAAGTGAGATACATCAGGCTCACATGTGTAAATATCATCTTGTCTCTCTAGTCTAACAACCTGAAAGAAGAAATAAAATCTGAAAGGAATAATAGATACAGTAAAATAGAAAGAAACTGAACATAAGGAATAAACAATGAAGATGAAAGAAGGAAAAGAGAAAAGATAGGATGGAAGGAAAAAAACATGCAAGTATATATACGGGACAGCTGAGATGATTGCAGTACTAATTTCCATCAGTTTTTTGAAAGTAGCAGTTAATGTTTAAAATTTTCACTTTGAATAACTCCATATGCTAATATCTGTAATCTGAGCAGCTACATTGAAGACAGCAATGTGCAATACAAAAAAACATGATTGAATACTTTTGATCTTGTTCTTCTAAAAGTATACCATTTCTAATGTCTTATCAATTATTATTATACCCTCTTTAAAATAAATTGAAAAATAAAAAGGACAAGAAGATTGAAAGCAAGCATTAATGTTTAATTATTTGACCAATCTTGCATACCTGTATCTGGTAATCTGAGTGACGGATTTTTTTTTTAATTATTTATTTATTTATGTGTGTGTGTGTGTGTGTGTGTGTGTGTGGCCAGCTCAGCCCACCAGGGGGCGGGGCTGGCTGGCATGTGGTGCTGGGGGATTGAACCGCGGTCCCTCTGCTTTGCTAAGCTTGTTCTAAGTAGGTGCTTTAGACCACTGAGCCATCTCACCAGCCCTGAGTGACAGATTTGAAAATAAAAACATAATATAATAACCATTGTTAATTTTCTATTCTTGTTTTGAAATTCTGTATGATATGTATTGTATGTTGCTGTTTCTGTCTTTGTTTTGTTTTTACTCTTTAAAATCAAATTAAAGAAAATACATATGCAACTCAAAAAAAACATCATTTTGTGTACATATACAAGACATGTATAATTATGAATTTGATTCCATTTTAATTACATCAGGCAATGGAGAGATCCTATTTAATAAATTAGTACCCATTCCAGGTACTAATGGGAATTTTTTTTTTTTTTTTTTTTTTAAAGAAAATCTGTTAGGCTCAAGATAGTGCCAGTCTAGGCAAAAACGAAGCATTCAGCTGTCAGAGCCAGAGCGACAGCTGACACACACAGTGACTCAGTGCATGCAGATGGCCCTGTAGCCTTGGCCTCTGTGAAGCTTTGGGAGGGGAGAGGATGTGGGCCCAAGAAAACCCATTCCGGGCACTAAGAAAATGAAGCTGCTGCCAGCAGCTCTCCCAGCCCTGCAGCCATAAAGTAAAAGGCAGCAACGGGAGGCACAGCCTCAATACGAAGAGGTCTCTGTGTTTTGCTTGGTGTCATCAATTCTGACTATACAGGGAACTCGAAGTTATATTTCAATCTACTCAAAACACTTTAAAATCACTCCAGACTCTCGTATCACTCAATTGGTCATTCTTTCTTTGACAAAAAAAACTTAAAATAACTTTTTAAAAAAGAAATATTGGGTTAAAAATAAAAATTAATTAAAGGAAAACCATTTTAAAGGGCTTTTCAAATGCAAGTGTGCATGGCCTGCAGGTACAAAGGTTGGGTTGCCCACCTAGAGAACTGCAAGGGCCATTCCCCAGGAACAGAGTTTAGCAGAAAAGCAGGAAATAGACTGCTTCTCTCTTTCTCCATTACAACTGAAACTAAAAGAAAAGTTTTTGTATTTTCCCCTGAAGGTGGTTAAATTAAAAGACTTTCCATCCTAATGATAAACAGTTTGCTTTTTTAAAAAATCATTATTTCTTAAGATTTACAATAATGGGGATATTATTAATCTTTTAAAGATTAAATTATTAATCTTTTAAAGATTACTTAAAATTTCTTTTCATAGTATATTAAGTGTATTCATGATTCCAGTGTACATCTAAAATGTAAAACAAACATTACTTATTGAGATAAGACTTTCCCTCAGATTCAGATCTCTACTTTTAATAAAAAACTTGTGATGTATATCACATTTAAGGACAATTAATTAGATGAAAATTTCTAATGTATTTGAGATGACTAAATGTTATATCAAAATGAAAATTTAAGTATGCCACAGAATGATTGTCTTGCTATAATGTTGTATATATCCCAGCATGCCTAGTTTCATCCACACCTTTTTTTAAAAAATAAGGAAACTGAAATACAGACAGATTGAGACTTAATGGCAATTGAAACAGGCAGTCTGGTTCAGTCCTGTTCTCCTCACCAAAATGTTCTATTCTAAAGAATGAGAGTGCTCCCACTGATGAGACCACTGACATTTATGTATCACTTTTTAAAAGAATAATTTTGTATTCATAAAAGCCCTTATCAAAGGCCAACAATCATTAATACCATTTTACAAATGAGGTAACTGGACAGTATCTGAAATTGTCTTGATTATTAGCCACAGGGTATTCTGCTGGGAAAGTTACTGAGAACTCTGGACTCCTGGGTTTGTAGGTCAGTTTGGGAATCTGAGCTTCAGGAGATCAAATCACTGCTGTCTCATAGTCGAGAAATGCTCTTTCCTCTGCAGCACAGAATGTACCAGAGTTCAGCTTGGACACCAATGCTTGACTTATCTTCAAGACTCCAACATAAGATACCAAGCCCTGAAACCACCTCCCACATTCCTCACATCATATCAGAGTTGATCCAGTATGTTCTTGTCTTTTTCCAAGGTCTGTAGCTAGTCTCCACTTGTCCAATTTTAGACACCAAGAGTTTTTGGCCAGACACTCCACAACTGATTGTGTGTTCTGTACAGTGCATATTTTGAGCTGTGACAGAGTTCATAAATATCACCGCCATTCAGACAAGTTGAATGGATAATAAGAACTAGGTACAAACAAAAGGCTAGATGAATAACCTGACTATAATTTCTCCCTCTGACTTATCCACAGAAATGAAAACTTACACTAATAAAATTCAATTACCAAAAAATTATTACACATATGTGAAAATATGTTTTTAATTTCTCAATAAGAGAAATTTATTAAATAAATAACAGAAAAGTAGTAGCACAAATATTAGAATTATGTTGCAAAAGAAAATTGAAAGTACAAATTAAAATTACAGCAAAACACTATTTCACACTTCCTAGGATGGCTATGATGGAAAGCACAAAAGGAAAACAACATAAGGATGCAGAGAAAGTAGAAACCTATTACACTTCAGGAAGGACTGTCTTCTGGTGCAGCCACTGTGGAAAAACAATTGGCAGTACCTAGATAAGTTAAGCATAAGTTACTATCCAGCCCTGCAGTTCTACTCTAGGTATATACCAAAGAGAACTGAAACAGGCCCAGCGAGATAGCTCAGTGGTCTTAGGTGCCTGGCGGGGCTGAGCTGGTCACAAGAGAGAGATTGAGAGAGAAAGAGAGAGAGAGAGAGAGAGAGAGAGACAGACAGACAGACAGACAGACAGACACTACATTTTTCTTTTGATACAGGGCCTTGTTATGCAGCTCAGACTCATAGTGATCCTCCTGTCTCAGCCTCCCTAGTACTGGGATTATAGGCATGTACCACAATGCCTGGGATTCCAGGGCTGGCACAGCATGTGGTACTTGAGGTCAAACTCAGGACCTTGCACTTGCCAGGCAGGTGCTTATGTCACCAAACTATCTCCCCAGCCCTAAGCCTGTGAGTTTTTATGGTGTGTGAGTTACAGCATAATTTAAAAACCAAAAAGGTATAGGCAACAGCATATATAAAGATTCTCTAGACAACGGAGCAAAGTATTAAATGTTAGAACATGGAACCAGGCATGGTGGTACACACCTATATGGAGGTTAAGACAGCAGGATGGAAAGTTTGAGGCGAGCCTGGGTAACTTAGTGAGTTCCTCTCACAATTTTAATTATTTACAAAATTAAATTGCAAAAAGGGCTGAGGATATAGCTGAGTGCATCCTGGCTTCGATCCTTAGTACTGGGAAAAAAAAATCCAAACTTTTATTATTTAAGATATTTTAACAAAAACATTCAAAATTAGTGTAAAAATAAAGGGCTGGCCAGATAGCTCAGTGGACTAAAGTGCTTGCTTAGGCGATGCAGTTTCGGTCCCCTGAGTGCTGTGCCGGCTCTGTCCCTGGGGCATGCTGAGAGGTGATTGAGACTGGGCATGATGGTGTGCGCTTATAATCCCAGTGCTTGAGGAGGCTGAAAACGGGAAGATCACTATGCGTCTGATCTGTGTAGTAAGACCCTGTAGACCCTGAACTAAATACATAAAAAAAAGTTAGTGTAAAAATATTCAGTAGCAATGTAACAGCTAACAAGAAAAAAAAGTAAGACATCTGCTTTATATTTCACATAAAAGTATTACTGAATGTTTGTTGATTTAACTGAAAATAAAATCATAAAATTTCTACCAGGAAAAAACAGTGTGAGAAAATAATCACTGTATAATTTAATAAAAACCAATGCAGGGGCCGGGGAGATGGCTCAGTGGAATAAGCGCTTCCCTGGCAAGCGCAAGGGTCTGAGTTCAATCCCCGGCTCCAGAAAAAAAAAAAAAAAAAAAAAAAAAAACCAATGCGATATTATCTTATTTGGATAAGAATACATAGCATTTACTGACATGGAGAGACATACGAAACAGTATTAAAAACCAAAGTAAAAAATGGTATGTATATAGTATGAATCTATGTTTTGTGAATCATATATTCATAGAGATAAAAGCCAGGCTTAATATACCAGCACCTTAAGAATCTTTCCCTCTGAGTAAAGAGATTATAGATGAGTTTTATTACTGTCCTTAACTTTTCAACTTTCTATATTTAGCATGTGTTAAGTTTAAAAAAATAAAAAACCAAAAAAACCCCACAACACTATTTGTAATAAATTCATTTACCTATCCTACTTTCTCTTATGTCTGCGTAGATGCTCCAGGCAATGGTACAGCAAGAATTTCCATTCTAATCCCCTCACGCTTCCCATTTTCAACATTACCTGTAAGATGTTCGTTACAGTCACGACTAACAGGAGCATGATGACCACTTCAAAATATCCTGTCTTCATTTTTCTCTTCTAAAATTAAGATGAACAAATTATATTCAGTAGACTTAAAAGAGAAGTTTAGGGGAATAAGAGCAGGACAACTACATACATTCATTCTGGGTAAGAGTGGATGCTGACATGGTGAGAAAGTGATTACTGATAAATTCCTAATGACTGTAAGAGCCATTATGTTTTTATCAGTGGTCTAACACCTTCACTCTAAAGATGAAACAAAAAGAGAACTTCAGTGCTTTGCTCAAAATTAGATCTGTCCATTTTTATTTTCCTTCAGACATGTATCTCCTACTACTGTCACTAGCACACATAGTTTTCCCCGTCTCTCTTTCCTATCTATCCGAAGAAATAACACAATCAAATGAAAACACCACAGCCTCAAATAGTCCCCTAGATCCTAGTTGCTAAGAGTTCTCTAGGAACATGTACACATACATCTTGCATTATTCTACTTTCTTGCAAACTGAGTTCTGCCAATTTGGATGGAGGGAAGAAATTATGAGACTGGTAGCAGCACAAAGCAGATTACCAGAGATGGCTTCCTTCCTCCATATAGTCACAATCAGGAAAAGCCTAAAGGCAAATAAGGGGTTTCCATAATTTCTGAAAATGGGAGTGAAAATAAGAGGGACCTGGGTAGGCAGCATTTCTGACGAGATTATATAACTCCATCAGCTGAATGTCCAATATTAATCCCAGTACTAGTGATGCTGAAAGGATAAGCAGTAGGGTAACATAAAATCTAAAACTGTCCAGTTCAATTAAGGATTGCAAACCTGCCTCTGGTTTGTTCTACATATTAACAAAGTTGACATTATTAGAAATAAAGTGAAATTTTTATTTTACCTTACCAATCCCCAAATTCGGGATTCTGAAAATGGGAATGAACAGTATAGTGAAAGGGAAACACTCTTGTCTTTTATAAAATAGGATCTATGTTCCTACCTTTAGAACTAGTTTCTTTAAAATTATTAAAATATAGTACTAAAAAATATAGCACTAAAGTGTAATTTCTGTGTTAGACCTCTCTTTTCAAAAAAAGTGTTTGGGATATAACATTTAGTAGATACCTGTCAAAAGGCAGTTATGTGCCAAAAGAGCTCTGGTTCAGGGTTTTCCTGACAATTCTTCTTCACTTCTGTAGTATGAGGGCAAAGAATTTAAAATGGTTACCTGCCTTTTGTGCCTTTGATGGTAGTTTAAGTGATGCTAGATCTCAAATTGATTCCCCACTCTCAGTTGTGTTGACCGTGTCCTCAGGATGGGATGTTGTTGACAGTGAGAGCTGAGAAGGGAATGCTTTTCTTTTTATAAACATTCCCAGCAGTGGCTTGGCAAGGTCTATTATTGCACTTGTGTTCTGCTATTTATATCTGGTCTCCACACTATGCCTTGGAGTCATTGCTGTTAACACTTTAAATCTTCAAGAGGCCTATAAAGCCACATCAATTCCCTCTAGTCAGGTAGCATATTCAGTACTGAGCCCACAGTTCTGGAGTTCTCGCAGAAAGAAATTACTTCCCATTCCTAACCCTCTGCACTGAGATGTCAGATTCAAGCATGGATTTTACTCTGTGTGGATAATTCATATAACTAAGATAACTCACTTTGTTAATCACTGGTAATGGTAATAATGGCTGCCACCTTTCATCCAACTAGCTACCATCTTTCAGACACTGAGCTAGGTGCTAGGATACACAAACAAGCAAAACAAAACACTAATGTTGCAGAAAACCAACCAAACACGGGGAAACAGCATTAAAATTTAGGAGGTAGTGTATTATAAAGTGGGCTTCAGACTAGGGTTTCTTCAGAGTCAGAGCCCCGCTAAGCAAGTTTGGAGCTTTTCACTTTTGGAAAGTGAGGGGTGGTATAAAAGCAGATTTGGCGCATTATGATTGGAGGGTTGGGTGACATTTTGGGTTGCTAAGGTTACATTTCAGGTTATATCATAAGGCCATCAGTTATACTGAGCATGGGCTATACAGAGGAAGAAATGTCCTGTTACATTTTAAGTTACATTGCAAGGCTATCAGTTATACAGACAGCAGACAGGGGTTACACAAAGGAAGAAGCATTCTGTTATTGGGTCAGCTGGTCATAATAGCTTGGTCTTGGTAGGCATCCTGGGTATGATTTTATTTAAAATTTTTAATTTTTCACATTCACTAAAATATATTCACAATCTATAGACAACACATTTATGACTAAGAACCCTGGGAGCAAAATAACCCTTGAATACAAGCAAAGTCCAGTGAGAACATTACGGAAGGAAGGAGCTTGTAGTTCCTGCAACTATAGCTCTCATTTGAATATATTACAATGGTAAATATGATAGCAGCATATTGGTAAATATATTGGCAATGCTGAAGTACACTTAAAAATTTCACTGATTGTAGATTTAAAAACTGGGGCCAGGGAGATGGCTCAGTAGAATAAGCACTTCCCTGGCAAGTGCAAGGGCCTAAACTCAATCCCTGGTTCCACCAAAATAAACAAACAAATAAATAAATAAAAACTTTGATATATTCTGGGAAATTCATGCATACTTACATCAAAATATATGAACAGAATGTTTATAGTAGCACTCCTTAACAATAGCCACAAATAGGAAGCTATTCAAATGCCCATCAATAGAATATATGAAATACTCTGACACATGAATTTTTTATTTTATTTTTTGTGGTACTGGGAATTGAACTTAGGACCCTGCACTTGCCAGGCAGGTGCTTATTCTACTGAGCTATCTCCCTGGACCCCAAACATTTTATCTTATTTATTTTTTTATTTTTTGTGGTACCAAGGATAGAACTCAGGACCTTGCATTTGCCAGGCAGGCACTTATGCTACTGAGCTATATCCCTGGAGCTTGAAATTTTATATACTATTGAAAACGAATAAAATCTAACAATGTGGCTAAATCTCACATTTTTTTTAAGGTAATTGGTACAGGGTCTCACTATGCAGCTCAAAATTGTAGTGATCTTTCTTGTTTTCAGCTTCTCTAGCACTGGGGTTACCCAGATGCGCCACCATGCCTGGTCTCAGTGGCCAGCTCAGTGTGTCCAGGGCCAGGGCCAGTGCAGCATGTGGTCCCAGGGATCAAACCCCAGTTGCTACACTTGCCTAAGCAGGTGCTTAGTCCACTGAGCTATCTTGCTGGCCCATTCTCACAAACTTTTGAACAAGTGACATAAACATGTACTACACAACTTATGTAGAGTATAAAAATGAGGCAAAACACATTTAAGTCATTAAAAATCAATAGTGGTAACCCAAGGTGGTAGATAGTAAATGGAAGGGGTGAAGGGATGCATCTGAGAGGCTAGCTATGTTTTGTTTCTTTGTTCTGATGCTGATTATACTTTTGAATTGTTTAGTTTGTGACAATTCACTGAGTTAAATATTTATGTATAATTGTCTTCATATATATACATATTATTTCAACATTAAAATTATCTTGAAGTATAGCCAGTGTTACAAAATGCATTGTGGAGACTGGGGAAACAGATTGGTGGTCTAAGCGCCTGCCTGGCAAGCACAAGGACCTGGGTTTGATTCCCAGTACTGCATGCAGTGCTGACCCCAGAACTCCAGGAGTGGTGGCACACACCCATAATCCCAGTGCTGGGGAGGCTGAGACAGGAGGATCATTCACTATGCATCCATAGCAAGACCCTGCACCAAATAAATAAACATTAAAAAAAAGATTGTTAAAAAACAAAATGCATCATGGAAATTTTGCCCAGTTCTTTCTGCATTGCCACTATGAATTCTGACTTCTAAGCTCAGTGGACGTTCCACAAGCCACTGGTGGAGAAGAGAAGTGGCCATCCCTGTCACATCATGCTGTTTCAATGAAGCTGAGTCCAATGCTGAGCCAGTCACAAGTACTGAAGTAGATAGCAAACAGGAAGGAAGGTTATTGCCTCAAGGTTTACAGCATTCTGGAAATATGTGCACTTGTTCTTGCTTTTTTTTTTTTTTTTTTGTGTGGAACTGGGGATTGAACTCAGGCCCATGCGCTTGCCAGAGAAGCGCTTATTCTACTGAGCCACTCCCCAGCCCCTAACTGTCCAACATTAAGTGAGATTGTACATTGTTGTCTGCTTTGTACTTTCTTACTCCACATTTGTCATTTGTGACAATACACAGGTTGTCATTTTTATGCATAGCCATCAGGTTGAATTTATGATTTTTTGTATGTTGTGCTGTTCCCCTGGTTGGACCATGAATTTATCTGCAGAAAATTAAAGAGTTGGTCCTTAGGACACAATTTATTTATTTTTTATTTTTTTAAATTTATGTGTGTGTGTGTGGCCAGCTCAGCCCACCAGGGGGCGGCACTGGCTGGCATGTGGTGCTGGGGGATTGAACCGCGGTCCCTCTGCTTTGCTAAGCTTGTTCTAAGTAGGTGCTTTAGACCACTGAGCCATCTCACCAGCCCTAGGACACAATTTATTAAAGAAAAGATAATACTCATGATTATGAGGCAGACATAGCAAAAACTTCAAAACAGCTCAGCAGTAATCAGGTGGGATGATTTGGAATAAGGATAACTATTATTATTATTATTATTATTATTATTATTATTATTATTGGCCAGCTTAACCTGCCCTGGGGTTGAGACTGGCATGGCATGTGGTGCTGGGGATTGAACCGTGGCTTGCCTAAGCACCTAAGTAGGTGCTTTAGACCACTGAGCTATCTCACCAGCCACAGGACAACCCATATTAAAAGTAAGCTTTAGTAGCTGGGTATAGTGGTACATGCCTATAACGCCAGCCCTTAGAGGCTGAGGAGGAGGATTGTTGCAATTTCTGGACCATTGTGGGCCACAAAGTGAGTTCAAGGACAGCCTGAACTACATAGTGAGACCCTTTCTCAAAAAACCCAACTAAATAAATAAATAAACTTAAAAATTAAGAAATAAAAGCAATGCAGAAGGGAGAGAGAAAGGCTTGATGGACACTGTAGCTCCTCCTCTGATCTTCACTGTTTTCTGCCGCCATGAACTGCTGCCCTTTGCCTTGGAGCCAGCAAATATAAACTAAAACCTCCACAAACTGTGAGCTAAATAAACCTTTCCTTCTTTAAAAAAGAAAGAAAGAAAGAAAAGCAATGAAAAGAAAATAAGCCTTTAGTTGCTGTCTTACTTTTCTCATTGTTGGAACAAAATACCCAATACCCACAAGTTAAAGGAGAAGAGTTTTATTTTAGCTGATAGTTTGTAGAAGTTTCAGTGCATAGTTGGTTGGCTCCAGATCAGAGTAGCATGGTAGAGGTGCATGTAAGAGAACAGCCAGTGACAGGAGAGAAAGTGAGCAGTGAGCCTCCTTTTCCTTTTATCCCATCCAGGTTGGAAGCAAAGCTTTGGAGTCATCCAAACTCAGAGTGGGCCTTCCCATCATCCATACCCAGAACTATGCTAAAGCAATTCATGCACTAATCCAGGTCCACACACCCTTGATCCCAGTATCACATGCCCATGTGCCAGCCTGCTCCCCAGATCTCTACCTGTCAGGGTACAAGGCCTTGGAGGGAATCTAGATCCACGCTATAACATTTTCTCTCTATTTTGACTTGTACTGGTCTTCCACAAACTAAATATTTTTTCCTCCAGGTTTGATTTGCTGAATATGTATTGTTTGTGCTAGTATTTTTGTTTACAATTTTTTTTATTTCTTTTTTATTTTTCTGGTATTTTTTTACTCGTAATGTAGGCTTTGTATTGAGATATATTTTTATTGTTTTTAAAAAGGATTGCTAAGAAAAAATTGAATATGTTTGTACATTTTTTTCATTTTATTTTGTGTTTTCTTTAGGTAATGCTTTTTCAGTTTTTTATTTTTTTTTTATTTTTTTAGGGAAGAGTCTACAGGGTGTTCAGGGTCTCATTACTAGATGGGACTTGCAGTGATTCTCCCATTTACAGCCTCCCAAGTGCTGGGATTACAGGTGTGCCCCACCATGCCCAGTCTCAATTGCCATCTCAGCATGCCCCGGGGGCGGGGCCTGCTTGGCAGGCCCAGAGATTGAATCCCACCCCTGAGCCTGCTTGCAGGTGCTTTAATCCGCTGAGCTATTTGGCTGGCCTTTCACAGTCTTTATTAGAACCGCTTCTGGGAGAGAATTTTCTATCTGGTCAGTGCCACTATAGCATTTTGTATTTCTACTTCAAACCAATTTTTATTTGCTAAAATAAATCCATTTCTACCATTCAGACCATCTATAAGACAGTTAATCTTCTTCCACCTTAATGATAAAGCAATCTTAGATTAAGTATGACACAAAAAATATATTAA